AAAGATGTTATGAATATCTTTTGCAATGAAAGAATAATGTAACAACCTCTTCAATTTCGTCCTAGGGCTTAAGTATTTATATTTGAAGGTGTCTAGGTAGTATGGGTTGAGTAAAACACTTCAAAAATGTGAAATAGGGTTTTTCTGCATAGGAGTGTCGCTCGAGCGAGAGCCAGTGAGGATCGAGCAAGAGGTATCCTATTTTTTTCACTCGAGCGAAATGCTAGCGAGAAGAGAGTGACAGTGAGCAGTCATTTGTGTTTTCATCATAACTTTCTCGTCCAATGTCCGATTGAGATAATTCAAGTTGAGTTGGAAAGCTAATCCCAAGGTCTATAATTATCCTTGAAATGTCCTTGTCCAAATTTCAACGTTTTATATGTGAAAAATGCATTGTAAGTTATGACTAAAAATGTGAAACATATTTTGTGTGGCTCTTTGATATCATTTAGACTTTCAATTGCATTCTGATGATCTTGTGTGATCTTCTTGGACATCTTGGGCTCCTTCAACAACTTGAACACTAATTTACCTCATCTATATAAATTGCACCATAAGTCCTTGACTTTTACACCAATGTTTAATTAAGTCCCTGACTTTTAAAATTATACAATTTAGTCCGTTTTATCCATAGAATTGCCAATTACACTTTTAGAACTAACACAAAGAAAGAAGAGAAAAATGGTACCTGAAAAGGAATTTTTTTTAGCAAGAGGAGGTGAAAATAAATTAGTTGATGGAGGTTGAGAATATATCAACCAAAGAAAGGCTACAAAATAAGCGATCGAGCTACCAAAAAATTGATTGTTTGGAAGCCATTCGATTGGCATTTTCAATTCCAGTCAAAGAAAAGAAGAAGAAATAAATCCATTCCAAACTTATGGATAAGAGAAAAACATTCTTGGGTGGAATGTTAAATAAAAATTTCCCAGCACAAACATATTCAGAGTTTAAACTATTCATTCAATCTTCTTCATCCTTCAGTTAGTGGGATTTGTAGCAATGTATGGTTATAATCAAAACCTTTATATGACCAGATTCTCAGCATCAATCTAAAAAGGAAGGGTAGCAAAGATTTTGAATAAAAAAAACCATAGCTTTCGGCAACAACTTCTCACTCCATAAATGAGATTTCATCGCCTTTCAACCGCCATTGGTACCACAACCTTCGACGGCTATCAACATTTGAGGCAATTATAGACCACCAATTATTGTCGGTTGTTTTTCTTTTCAAAGTGGTTTTTGCAGCCATGGTTTCTGGTTTGGAGGGCTATACCATATTCAGCAGCCTATGGTGTCCTTTATTGAAATGTGTCTCCTTAGTCTCTAGGGTTGTCCCTTTTAGCTATATAAGGTCTGTTTGGTAGCCAGTAATTTTAGCAGGTTATTTTTTACTTTTGCTAGCTTTTTCTGCACTTCATTTGTCTTGAGAGATTTACTAGAACTCTTTCATCCTTTTATTTAGGCCGACAATTTCATTAGCCACTTGGGCCCACTTTACAAACTTCAAAAGTTTAAAATTCTCTCTTGGGTTTCCTTTCAAATTATGCTGAATTGGGCTCATACCCTTTATTTTTTAGGCCCCATGTTTCTTTTAAGGGAAAATATCATATAGAAGAGATTAAGTATAGGGCATTTCAAAAAAATAAAAAAAAAAAAAAAAAAAAAAAAAAAAAAAAATATATTTTCCNNNTTTTTAAAAAAAAAAATCAAAAGCATCATTTTAATTTTCAAAATTTCTGGACATTTATTACTTCAAATTCTTTTAATCTTTCTATTTAAAAAAAAAATAAAAAAAAAGGGATTTTAAAAAAAAAAAAAAAAAAAAAAAAAAAAAAAAAACAAGTATCATATTTCACTAATCAGATATTAGCCTAAAAATGAATACAAATATTAATTTAATTAAAAAAGAAAAAAGCCCGTACAATGAGCGTGAGATATCGTACCCAGCAGGGTTCTCCAAAAAAGAAGAAGAAATCATCTCTCCAATTGGTTCCAGTGGCTAGAAGATCTGAATATACATCTAAATTACCGTCGGCTCTCGTGGAAGTGACAGCAAAATCAATTTTTGGTCACAAATTGCAGTTGCCGGGTCGCATGACCTCATATTAAAACACGATCTCTCGAACAGTCACTGATACGTTACTTCAACTTGTAATTAAGAAAGTTTATACTCATCAGGTGTGTAATTATGATTTGTTGATTATAATTTGTCGTTTATTCATGCTAGACAAGCTTCGATTGATGAAAAAGTGATTTTTGACGGAACTGTGATTGTGAATATCGTACACTGTTGTTCAAAACTATTGTGACTGTTATGAAAAACATGTGATCGGCTATTCATAAGATGTAACGTCATGCAGTCAGTATGCATGGGTGTTCGTGTCTTGGAATGTGTGACGTGTGACATACTGCATTTGTGTCATGTGACATTAATGTTCTTGTTTGAATCTAATCATATGCGATCAACACTTAGTTACCGTGACTGAGTGTTGCATGTAATTGTGATTTAATACGCACATGTGACCTACATGTATTCCATATGTGACCACGATATTTAAGATACGACATGCATTTGTGATCTGTGGTCATTTAATAGAATTGTGACCTAAATGCAATGAATTGTGACCAATATACAAAGACTTGTGGCTACTCTTCAATGGCATTTGACCGATACACAATGACTTGTAACAAATATGCAATGACCTGTGACCTCTCGTAAAAAAATCTGGAAAATAAAAATATGTGACCTGCATGTATTCAATATGTGACAATGATACTTGATATTCGACATATGTTTGTTGTGACCTTTGATCATTTAACATAATTTTGACCCATATACAATTAGATATAACTGTAATTGGATGTTTGAGTGATCATGTTTTTGCTCATTTTGCATAAAATGGGGTTAATTCATGTATGTCTGTTGAATGGATTACAAATGTCACTGGTGTTAATTGATCGTAGTTGCGGGTATTTGAGGCTTCTCGACACAATTATCAAAAGAGTTTAGCTTCGACCCTGCAAACGTTTCTATGACAATGAAGTATATCTTGAATAGTGATCTACCTCCAATAACAATCAAGAGTGACGATAATGTCTTGCCGTACATGGTTTTGAAGTATATAAATCGTGACCCTGTCAAATATCCAATTCACATCGAGATCACAACTACAGATATCGAAAAATAGCCTATTACGCTATCAGTTGATGTTCAATCAAATGAACATGGGTTTTCATTAACAAATATGTCGTCCGATATATGCGGAGCAATAGCAGATCCATCTAGTGACAAGTTTGAGCATGAGGTCACAGTTGTGGTGGTGGCAAATGCTAGGGAGGTAAAGGAAGGAAGAGTTTTTGGTAACAAGGAGATTATGAAATTGAGCTTGACATTTTATGCAATCCAAAATATGTTTGAGTACGTGATTGTTCGGTCCGATAAGAAAGACTATCTCGTGAAATTTTCACATGATGAGTGTAATTGGACATGTAGAGCATCGAAGTTAGCCATAACAGATATGTTTAAAATTAGACACATTGCAGAAGGTCACACGTATACTTCAAACATCGTACTCAGTACTTATAGGTAAGTAACAAAGACAGTTGTGTCAACCTGCATTAAGTACAAGTACACATCGTCATGAACCATATACACATCGAATGATATACGTAACAACATGCTGCATACATATGGAGTATCTTTAAATTATGTCAAAGCTTGGCTATCTCGAGAGGAAATTTTGAAAGTGCTAAGGGGTGATCCAACTTATTCATTCAATAAGATACTAGCCTTTTTTTCATGTTACAGCAAACAAATCCTGGATCGGTTACAAGTCTAGAAATTGATGGTCACAATAGGTTTAAATATTGCTTCATGGCACTAAGTGTATCTATACGGGGATGGAAACATTGTAGGCTAGTTGTTGTGGTTGATGGCACATGTCTAAATGGACACTATGGTGGCACCTTATTCACAACTTGAACACAAAATGCAAATAATAGTATTTATGTACTTACGTTCAGGATTAGGAATAACAAGAATGACAGCTCTTAGACATGGTTTTTTAGACAGCTGAGGAAAGCATATGGGGATAGAGACGGTTTGTGCTTTGTGTCGGATCATCACAACAGCATCAAAAAGGCGATTGAAAACGTGTATCCGGGAGCTTTTCACGAGATATGTTCATACCATCTACTACAAAATCTAAAATCACATTACGAAAAATCAGGACAAGACATAACACAAGCATTCAATGCGGCTGTTCGCGCCTACATACTTTTGGAATATGAATATTACATACAACAACTCGGCTCAATTAATGAGAAGATAAGGGATTACCTAGTACTATACTATACATTGTCGTATGATGATATTCACTTAAATAACGTTTGACATGATACTATACATTATATGATACACATTTCCATGATTTTGTTTATAGGATGGGGTTAGACCTGAGAGATGATCATGTTTCCACATGCCTTCAAACTAGTATTCTACAATGATATCAAATATTGTGGAGTCAGTTAATACGGTCACAAAGTCTGAAAGAACTACCCTATTATAGCTTTGTTGGAGTCATTAAGACAAATTCTACAATCTTGGTTCTGCAGACACAAGGAGGATGCCCAAGGCACTTTTACAACCTTGTCAAGCAAGTATGAGAAGAAGATGAGGAAAATGAGTATAGATATGAGAAACCTGAGGGTAAAGTTAAATACTGTGACCTAATCTATAATCTATGACTTACCTGAATTAATTTGTGACATGTGCTGTGACCTGTACCATTGTGTTTCAGTAATATTTGTGCAATATTATATATAACTATGTGACATGAACTTTCATCAGTATCCTACTTTTTCATTACGTGACTTATTATGTCTGTAGCTTGAATCTATATCTGTAGGTTTTCCCTATTAATTAGGAAATGTTCTCAGTTAGTGGTGAAAGTTCCTCTTTCATTGTTGATATAGAAAATTGAACATGCACATGTAGAATGTTTCAAGTAGATCAACTATCTTGTCCACATGCTTTGGCTGTGTTTGCAAGTATGAAGCTGGATCCATATGAATATTGTTCCTACTACCATACAAGTGAAGCATACAGAAATACACACCAAGAAACAATTTTTCCTGTAGGAAATCCTGCTGAATGGATAGTATCAAATGATGTCCATGACATAGTTGTAATTGTACCTTATCAAAAATGTAGTTGTGGAAGGCTTACTGAGAAGAGATTCAAACCAGCATATGAAGAAAACATAACCATCAAATGCGGTTGGTGTGGTAAAAGTGGTCACAATCGTGGAACATGTAGCAGTCTAGTTCCGTTAAGTCAAAGCCACAAGAATAAAGAGTGGAAGAAGATGAAGACTAGCAATCCACATTGATATATTTTTTATAATTCCATAGTTTATTCATTCATTGATTTTTTGTAATGTAGGATAGACAACATTGGATGATACGTATTGGCCATAACATTACCAATACAATGTTTAGATTCTTTGCTGATAAATCAATGAGATCACGAATCATAAAAGTGTACAGTGACCTATAACAGTATCTGTGACATTTTCTGTGATTGATTGCAATGCACTTTGGATGTGTGACCGGAATATAGTGACTTGTGACCAATACGGAACGATCTATGACCAGAATGCAGTGACCTATAACCCCTGTGCAATGAACTGTGATCACTATTAATGATATGTGACCAGAATGCAGTGACTTGTGACCAATATGGAATGATCTGTGACCAGAATGCAGTGACCTGTGACCCCTGAGCAATTAACTGTAAATATATGAAATGATCTGTGACCACACGTCAATTAACTGTGATCGGTATGTAGTGACCTGTGACCATTTCTCAAGACATGTGACTAGGATGCAGGGACATGTAATCAATATACAATGACTTGTGACAAATATGCTCTAAACTGTGACCAATAAAAGATGACCACTGACCAATTGCAAAGACTCAAAAAATGGGATTGATTTAGTTGCAATTAGTTGTGAGAAAAATATGAAGTGATCTGTGACCAATCTTCAATGACTTGTGACCAACTTGGATTGACTAGTGATAATTTTTCATGACCTGTGAACAAAACACAGTGACCTGTAATCAATATACAATGACCTTTGACTAAGATACAGTGAACTGTGACAATGAGCATTAACCAGTGACCAATTTACAATAACTAGTGATCTATGACTTGCGGATAATCTTGAAAACTGGAGTGATTAAATTCCAGTGTCGGTCAATCAATAAACATCTCTACCACTTGTGCTGATAACATGACACAATGACAAAAATTTGTACATTAAGTTTAGAGACTTTGTCCTCGATACATCATCAATCTTGCAAAATATGATATACAGTGAAACTTATGAAAAGCAATTTAATAAAGTCTCCAAACACTCATGAACTTTATGATATAAACAGACAAAAGTAAGAACTACGTTATCATTACAAACGAATATGCAAACACGAGACAATGTTTCTATCTATTACAACTTGTGATTGCTCATTGCACTATCACTATAAAACAATGCTTTCCCCACCAGTTGGCTGCACCGTCTTTCTAGCCCTCCTGATTTCGCGATATTTGAACAACAATGAAGCTAAATCCAACCGTGCTCTCCCCGCATCGAACTTCATGGGCATGGATCCTATATCGTCATGCACCATGTACTCGCATACTTGACCACGTATATGTCACAATCATCTCTAGGAACGCAAATATCAGTCTATTAGCTATGAAATTCGGCATGTTATAGTATGTTTAACTGTAAGTGGAGGTAAGAAACCTACCCATTTTTCTGTTGGGAAAGAGAGAAATCAAGATCCACATTCAACTCCATATAATCTTTTTTCCGTATTCCAACACATTTCATGAGATGCGAAAGCGTGCTGACAAAATGTTCAATTCCAATACAGACTTTGATATCATTGTATGTCTTCTTGGACGAATTTAATAAACGCAACATATGTGCCTTTATGTCCAACACTCCAAGCATCTAATGTGCTTTGTTGGTAGGCAGAAGTGGGATAAACACAAGGTTGACTTCAGCCCATCGAGTAATCATCTCTAGGAACGCAAATATCAGTCTATTAGCTATGAAATTCGGCATGTTATAGTATGTTTAACTGTAAGTGGAGGTAAGAAACCTACCCATTTTTCTGTTGGGAAAGAGAGAAATCAAGATCCACATTCAACTCCATATAATCTTTTTTCCATATTCCAACACATTTCATGAGATGTGGAAGCATGCTGACAAAAGGTTCAATTCCAATACGGACTTTGATATCATTGTATGTCTTCCTGGACAAATTCAATACACATAACATATGCGCCTTTATGTCCAACACTCCAAAGTCGGCAGAAGTGGGATAAACACAAGGTCGACTTCAGCCCATGGAGCGCTCAGTGAAATTCATGCACTGATAATGTCGTCAATCAGTCTATCACCTGTCACAACAACATTTGCATCATCCTTGAACCTAGGATACATGTGCTTGAGCTTTCCCTGGAACAACGAGTCAGTTGTGGTAGCTACGAACTTGAGATCTCTCGCACTTCTTGCCACTTAATGTATGTAGTAGAAGCACCCGTCCATATGCTACAAAGATGCAAGTACAATAAACAATTAAGAAATCATATATACACCAGAAACATGATGTATTGAACTGTTACTGTGATGTGTGACTCAGTTAGTATGTGTCACCAATACAACCTGTAGTTAGTGACCATTCAATAACTGATCTGTGACACCATAAATACATGTGAGCTATACTGTTGTGCCTGTAGATATGTGTTTTTTGTGCAACACATATTGTGACCTACTGTTCGTGTGATCTATGACCCATGCATCATCTGTGACCTATTGCATGAGTGGGTTGTTACACAGTATAGGCATAACCTGTGACTTTCACTGAATGACATATACAACACTGCATTTGTGTGGACTCTATGTGACTATTATACCGTGATCTGTGACTAATGTGATCTGTACTGTGACATGCCCTTTAGAAATGTTACTTTTGTGTAGTAAGTTACCTAACTCGTCAACAAAACCTCCTGGATACAAGTTCATACTAGCATGTCTTGTTTCCCACCAAGTACTGATCGATGGAAAAAGGTGGACAGATGGCATCATCTTTATAATTGAACTTCTTCCTGTGAACGAGAAGTATGGATCATTATTTGGAAAATAATGAAAATAGGACAACAATTTCATACTTGTTATGTGGTTTGTATCCTCTTTAAAACTAATTTTGAAAGTCAGCAATATCTGTATCATCTGCATTCTGATTATAATGTTCGAAGACCACTATGTTTCTTGTCGATTTCATTTATTTCACTTTGTTGACAACACAAGGGGACTGAAGCGCTTTAGCTGGAGCCCTTTTCACCAGCAATCCTGAACTTGATGCGGCCTTAGGTGAGTGCTGCATAATAAAATGTGTTTTTTAATATGTGGCATACATTAATGAACAAATACATAGATTTTTTGATACCTCTTGCTCAATACATTTCGTCTCCTTCAACACATTGGATATGACCGAGTCCACTTGCACTTCAACTTCGTTAGATGTCTTTGCAACAAACTAGCTTGGTTGTGTAAATCCAAGACCGAGATCAAAAGATGGAGGTCTAATAGAACATGGAAATTCAACCGTACATGCAGAGTCAACCTTCGCTTTGCCTTTCGAATCAACAATTTGTTTGACTTTTGTAGCCCGAAAATCAGAACAAAAATGCATTTGATGAGAAGTGTATATCAAATAGTTTGAGGTAACAGACAAATAAGAGGCAATCACAGTTGGGGTACTGACTTCGTTTGTTGGTCCAGATCCTTCAACAGTTTGTGGTCCTAAGTTCTCTCTGAATTTGTTTATAATTTTTTCCATTGAACTAGATATCAATGTAGTCACAGAATTGGACATACACTACATGTGTGATTTGATGTCCAACATTTCGGTACGGATTTAACCTTGCATGTGAACAAGCGGCTTCAGTTTCTTTTGCTAATCAGACTTCAAAGATGACACCTATGACTGCATTGCCTAAAGCTGTTTGCTTAGCAATCGATTCTCAGACTGGAGATCAGATATCTATCCTTTAAAATAATTCCTCAATTCGTCGACCACCTGCATCACATGAATACCTGTAATCAGATAACTTATGATGATGAAATATAACATTCATCTGTGACCAGCAGTGAAACATGTATTGATATGTGACCTAATAACTGAAACCTGTGACTGGAATATATTTTTGTGACCTGAGAATTTTTCTATGACCTGAATATCATTAACACTAAATGGACTTGTGACATGATAGATAAAATTGGAAGAGCTTACATCTTTTGACGGTAGATCCTCTAAATTAGTAGTGTCATCTGACTTACGCTCCCCACCTGAAGAATCTTTATGGATTGATGTCCCCTTCCAATTGGGTGGTGGGTTAACAAAGTTATCATCATCAATGTGCACATCAGAGTGTCTCAGTCGTCCATCAGTTAGCAGAAGCATGGGAGTAGATTGTTTCATTCCCGAAACACTTAGATTTGTACTAGTCCCAGCATGATGAACTGATCGGTCTATGCTACCACCCTTTCTCTTCTCCCCACGTGACCGATCAGGTGGGACAGGTTTCTCATACCACACATCTGTCATGTATGGCATTGCCATTTCAGCTGGTGGGGGATCCAAGTCACATATTTCCAATTTCTATTCATATTATAACAAAAAGTGTAATATCAGCAACCAAAAATTATGTATGAACGAACAGATATAATTTTGCACATCACACATATTCAGTATGTTGACATGGATTGTGATATAACAAGGGCAAACGGTGTTGTGAAAATGTCTGTGACGTGTATTGAAAACGTGCAACATAATGAATGAAATTTGCGACTTCGTGAATGCAATTTGTGACTTGATGAAATTTATTTGTCACCTAAGAAATATGATCTGGAACATGAAAAAAATGTGCAAGTTTAATATTTAGAAACCAGTAATGCTGCATCAGTGATCACTTATGTCCGAATTAGAGAAGCATTTAGGCCCCTCGAGCTTCTCAGCCAAAGGGTGATCATCAGCCGCCCAGTTCATTATCTGGGGATATGCTTTGGACATCCTTCTCACTATTTATCCATCGAGACTGGGAATTGTCTCGTAAATCCACACTTGAAAGGCTATGAACAAGCCTCTGAGTCTGTAATGTGTTGATCTCTTACTCAACCCTTCCCTCAATGAATTTACTAGCATGTCAAATAATGACTTACCCCAATGAATTTACTAGCATGTCAAATAATGACTTACCCCATGGAAACATATTCGTTGCACTAAAATCTTCAACTAGTTCAAACAAGAAGTGATCCA